CAGCACAGCTCGCAACAAATGCCCGAGATTAGCCGCATTGATACAGTCGCTCGCAAGGCTATAGGTCGCTCGTTGGTCTCAAGTGCTTCGGAAATGGCAGTATATGTACGAGTTTCGTGCAGAAGGCGTATGCTCGTATATAGGTAGGCCCTAGTTCAGAAGCCATGTAGAATCGTTTTTCACATTCAAAATTCGAGAATATACTGTGCCGAAGGAATATTGCTAACATGTCTGATAGTATCGGAATCGAACATATTTATATAGGAAATGCTTTTTTTCCCACAGCAGCAAAAATATTTTCACCATTACAAACCCATTGGATTCATAGTTTCCCGTCTTACCCCAAACTCAATGTCAGAAGTTCAGCACGATTTTTCTGTGTGGACAATTTGATGCAGACAAAGCAAATCCGCGGTAAATGAACAATGGTGGCATATGAGTGTATCACAAGTGATTGCGAGTTTGTAACTCTATAATGCTGCACACAAAAGCTTGTACAATACAATATGGATGTTTTCAATGAAATGAGTGTTTTAAAGAAATCAAAATTAAAGATTATCGACTGAACACAAACTCACCAGACTTCAATGGTGGTGTGTAGTGGGAAAGGCAATTCTGGTCCCAATTTTTCTCGCTCGTAGCGCTATTGGTTTGGTCTGCAGAAAGGGTGCCCGTCTTACCTACCCTGACCGTCTTACCCCACTTTCCCCTACGATCTTTCCATGATCTTACGGAGACATGCGAATCACGCTGATAAGTGATCAACCAAGAACCCGCGCCAACCACCAGCACGACCTTAATGCTCCAATTTGGCTTTTCCCGATAGCCTAGTCATGTTCTTTTTTTCAAACACCAACGGCAAATCTGAACTGATTGGGCCAGCATTGTTTCGTGATACAGAGCTGTCTGTTTAACTCCCCCGCACGCGACTCAGTGATAAATTCGGTCATCTATCTGCTGGACACTGGACAGTGTCGCCGCTGTTGTTCGAAGACGGTATACCCTGTAACATGACTATATGGCCTTGACATGACGGTTATCGGCCAGTCTTGGCATCCCGTCGTTTAAAAAGTTGGAAAACGCCCACTTGTCATACATTTTGAACGATGCAGAGGACACATGCCCAAATGGCCGGCCGCTTCTCAGAACTTGCTGTGACGTTTTTATATTGTGCGGTGTTCCTTTACAGGCAACCGTTGGGTGCAGCTTCCATTAATTGTGTTAGTTATTCTTCAGTGGTTCTGTAACTAACAACAACTCACCAAGTGCAAACGTGTATAAATGAGTGAATTATTAATTTTAACCCGGCAGTTGCTGGGGTGTTTCGCCACCCACCGTTTGCTGGGGGGGGGGGGGCGTTAAACGCCCCCAGCCGATAACTCGAGAACCAATAGGCGCAGCGAAACGCACGAGGCGGCAAACGAAAGAACGCGACGAGACGCTTCAGATGAGTACTTTAAAGTTGAATTTTGAGGTCACAGGTCGGGTCAAGGTCAGGTCAAACACCTGAAATCGGGCTTTTAGTAGCATGGACTTCAGGACTTCGCAATGGGCGCCTCTCGTCATAAACTCTGTCAAAACGGTGCACAATCCATCATATAAGGCCTACAAGAGTGTCAGCTCCATGTAGGGGTCAGTCAAGCATAGGTCAGGGTCAAGGTCAGGTCAACCGGGTAGGCAAATATCCCCGAAAATCAAAACTGATATTCGCAGCCTGTGACATATGTTTTATGGGTAATTTGGGGCGTAGAACACGATGGTGACATTCATTTTATCATATGTGTACGTGTTTGGCTCAAAAAGTTCAATTTAAGAAATGCGTGTATCATGGTCGTAAAGTAGTCACGAGAAGTTGCCAAGATTCAGTTGAAGATTTGGGAAAATGCGGAACAATAATCAATAATCGAAGATAACCATTTGATTGTTCATGGTATTGGCAGTCTAATGGCGTTTACGGCATGTCTTTATGTCTATTCTGTGATTTTATATGATTTTTTGAACATATGCCGTTTTTGGTCGAAAACTCAGAAATCATGACGTCACTAAAACCTCGATATCTCAAAAATGTTCCGACCGATTTTTTTGAAACTTTGTCACAATACACTTCATTCAATTCCCTACAGGTACCCAAAATTTGGCGCGCCTGCGGCGCGCCGTTTTTATGCTATGGCCCGGCGAAAAAAGTGGGGGCGTTTAACGCCCCCCCCCCCCAGCAACTCGCGGGTTAAAATACGTACGATAATTCGGGTACCTTTACAAGTTGGTATGTCTCAGCATGCATGATTTTAATGCTTAAATAGGTACAAAGGTATTGCATAAAACAGCATAAAAAAGCTATGCTTGGTGGATTCTTGAAGTCGCACTGAGCGGCCACAACACCTTACCGTATAAATCAAGGGACAGAGAGAAAAGACAACAGCTCGACCGCGGCAATAAACCACGACACCGCAAAGCACTATTTATGGACTGACTGGGCAATGGCTCAAAGACAAGATATATTGGCCGGTCCGGGATTCTCTCAAGGAGCCAAGTCGTTCATCAAAACATATACTGCTGTCATGTTGTAGGATCGACAAAGTGTTTAATGTTTTCAACCATGGCTTTGGTTTGGTCGCTCTGGATGTGGTGGCCACCAGGCTGATGCGCCAGCCGCTCAGACCGTCCCGGGGGACAGGCCACCGAGCCGCGCCAACAGTCCCCCGGCCGCGGCGAGCCTGCTCCTGCTAGAGCTACTTCCACTTCGTCGCCGGTGACCGCCAAACCGTCGAGAGCGGAATGTGTGATCAATTGGGTGGGATTGGATATAGTGGAAAGTCCAGAGCATGAAAAAGCGCGAAAGCGCAAAATGAAAATAATCAGCGTTTGGTACTCTTCAGACATGAGCATTGAGCCCCCACCTCTGGTGAAACATTGCATTGCTGTCTGGATAACATTGCAAAGTACTGTGCGATTCTCTACACGTGCCTAAAACTGAATAAAATGATTTTACCTTAATATCCGTACTTTGAAGTTTCAACGCACAATGTATGTTAGGTGGGACATGCCGCATCGCAGCCATATTCACTTACATACGTGTGGCTCGGCGCCCCTTACTTACTCGTAACACTGACAGAGTACCCGGCTTCGGTGTCGGTATTACATCGGTCGCTATCGCCCTCCGACGCGTAGCGTAGGACGGAGTCACTTTACCGATAAACACGTCCACAGACATCCCATTCTATAGGGCATTCAATGAAGTGAGCGCACAATATAGACCCCTAGGTATGAGGTCCGGTTACTAGATTTGGATGTGCAGCCAAAAGCTGAATACCAATAAGATGTTGAATGGCTTCAAATAGCCGCCTAGCCACGATTCTTTGGAGAAACGGTACATTGCATACGTATTGGGCAGGAACATATTCCTGTGAAACATGAGCATTGTGAGTTGGTTGTGAGTTTCAAATAGATTTTCATGTTTCAATCCCGCGTAGAAGAGGCAGGATTGCATTTGGCATATGAAGTTCATGCCTGGTAAGGAAACTGAAACTGACTGTGGTAAGGAAAAGCAATTTCATATAGCACTTAAAATGTGGGAATTAAGAAGCATTTACAATATCGCTGTAGAATTAAACGTCATTTACGGATGTAGCGTCACCCAATAAATACATCTAAAAAACTGAAAAGTTGAGGAATGTTACATCAGTTATGTGAAATCATAGCTAATTTTGGACATTGCATTTAAATTCCCTTCGCTATAACGAATATTCATCTAACAGGAACCCGAACATTGAGCAAACTGCAAAGTCAGCGTCCGTTTCAGTTGCAGCCCGCTCGGCGACTCGTCATTCATTCAGTTCCCATATAGCAAAATGGAGTGGAAACTGCGCCGGTTTTCGGCGCCGGTTATTTTATCGGGCTATTGCAGCAGACTCAGCCATTGTCTCACAATCCGATACCGACAGAGATTGAGGCGTTGTGACTGTCGTCGGAAGCCGCGGGCGGGGGCGTTGGACGGCCGGGGGACCTCTGATTGGTGCACGGACACTGTTTGGCCGCCCCACGTGCTTCACTGACAGACATTGAACTATGCGGCATCGACATATGGCTAGATCTATTCATGGTGGAGTAGCCTGACAATGGCCAGATTCATCGGTCTGACGGTCAAACGGGCAATCAAAGAAGGCTAGCCGGTGCGGTCAACGGCGATAGTTTAAATTGCATTCTCATCGCTCATGTTTTTATGAACGAACAATCTCACACTTGATCCGGATCTGAGCAGCGTTGTTTTTTTTCGGGTACCTGATTTCATGGTTAAGGGTTACTAATAATCAAAAGTCTACATAATATCTTGAAAACCAGTTATTTTTTCGGTGAAATTTGGTAGATATTCTTTTTTGATCTTTCTGAATCACGGGACATCGCCTTCATGCCAATTTATTAAGTTTTTTTGAAGTTGGGAGACAGTAGCGGCGGAACACCTTCAATTAAGGGGGGGGGGACACTGCCGACTTGGTCCCATTCTTTCCATGCAACGCCCATAGGGCTAATGTTAAAATGCCAGAATCAAAGGGGGCACGGTGCCCCGGTGCCCTCCCCGTTCCGCCGCCTATGTTGGGAGGGGAGGGTCCCTTTAACAAAAACAATTTTTCGATCGTGTTCCGGTTGTCAGATAACGTATTGGCTACAAAATTGTAACAATGCCAACCAACGCACTCTTATTTCAGCTAATCACGCGTCTGCTTTTGGCTTGAGCGTGCGCACGGTTTGGACGATGAGAACTATAACGTAACGATAAAATGTTCATACGATAGCTATCAGGGATGTCCAAATCTGCGGTCCCCGTTTAGACTACATCAGTGCGGGCTCATGTCCGCGAAGGGGCGCGTGCGGCGCGTGGGTGTCTGGGACGTGGGCCGTCTCGTGTCGCGGTGTGGGTGGCCGCCGGTGCGCCGGCCCGGCCCCGCGCACCCACGTCACCGCCCCAGGCTATATAGCCGCCGGCGGGCAGCCTAGCAGCGGTGGCAGCGCGCGACAGAGCAGACGCGACCCGCTTCCGCGAGAGCCTGCGCACCGGGCGCCGACCGAGCCAGCGTCCACCGAGCGGCCAGCCAGCGGTCTTGGAGCCGAGCGACAGCTCGGCGCGGCCCGGTAGACCACCAGCAGCCGACCGGAGGCCGGAGCAGACCCGCAGGTGAGCCGCCGCACCGGGGCTCGGAACGGGGCAGAGCTGGGAGAGCCGCACAGGTGAGCCAGCAGGACGGTAATCGGATCAGGACAGGTTTGGGAGAATAGACGGGGAAGTGAGGTATATCTGTTACAGGCCGTATGAAAACTCAGTTCGTTTGCAAACGGCCTGGCCCGATTCAGGCCGTTTGCAAACGGCCTGGACAGCCCAGTCAGTATGCAAACGGACTGAAAAGTCAGGCCGTTTGAATACGGGCTGAAATTCCAGGCTGTATGCAAACCGCCTGAAATTTCAGGCCGTTTGCAAACTGTCTGGGCCGTATGACAACTTTCCAGACACCAGGCCGTTTGCAAACGGTCTAGGCATTTTGAAAACAATCTGGTCTGCATAAAGTTACAGCTGGACAATGTTGAGTTTATTGAAGTACGACCGTTTCATGACATTACATGGCACTATGAAATCCTGAGGTGCATTCGGCATCCGGAAAATATTGTCACTCGGATATTCTCCGTCGGAAAATTATTGTTGAGCGCCTATCTTCAGCATGTCTCGTTATCGCGATACCGTTCGTGATCCCCGATGATTCTCGCTAGTTCCGGAAAATTCTCCCTGATGTTCCCGATGACGAATGCAGGCCTGGTCAGGAAGAGATTAGCAGAACTGAGACCCGACCCGTATAGCGCCCGGTCGACCCGGGCTTCCCCCGGACTTCAAAGTTTCGCCTTCCACCGCAATGGTCAAGTACATTGTCTTGACCATTGTCTTGACCATGTCTTGACCAGTGTATTGCCGGCGTACGCCACCGGCCAGCCGCCGGCGGTCGACCGGGCGCGGTGAGGACTCTAATGTGAACCAGTGGCGCGGGAACTTCTTCCAGACTGGGGGGGGGGGGCTGAACCATAATTGAGATCAACCTAGGGTACCCCCAAATCTAGTTTTCTCACCGGTTTTAGGCCACTTATTTTTCAGACCTTGGCCTTTAAAAAAAACGAAAATATTTGCAAAAAAGTCAGGTATTCCGTCTCAGCTGAGTGAAGAAACTACCGTTTTGGCAGCCTGGAATAAAGGTTTTAATCTGCCAAATCAGTTGCCCAGCCAGTGAAAGAGGTGGATTTTTCACTTACACTGCTTTCTTCCTTTGTGACCCACAACCCCTAATTAGGGGAGGACAAGCTGCCCCAACGGTTCTTGACCTCATGAAAAGTTGTGGGGCACCGCCCCCACGGCCCCAGAGCTGTGGGAGCAAGCTTCCCTCACTGCCCCCTCCCCCGGTTCCCGCGCCTATGTATGAATCTATGAAATTATGTTGGTAGATTTCCGATTTCGATTCCTCCAGCTGGGAGGGGGGGGGGCTCAAATACATTACGAGCCCCCCCCAGCCGAAAAGTTGGAGGAGCTCAGCCCCCGCTAGCCCTCCCCCCCCGGTTCCCGCGCCACTGATATGAACTCTGATGTCCATTGCGCGCTCCGGCGTTTTATGCCGCAAAATAATCGGTGAGTCTTGTAGTGATACGTTTCACCAGACCTCACCAGTAGTACTGGCTTCAGCAGGCTCCATCAACTGGATGGCCGTACCAGGCGGACCGTGAACTTGTATAATTAGTAATATTGTCGAAAAACGGCCGGGCCGAGCATCAGCACAGTAAGAAAATGTTCGACGTATGTAGACGAGTCATTCGGCATGGAATGCGCAAGCATTCACATGGATGCAACCTGATCATCGACCAACCTGGATCCATTAAGTCCAATCTTCAGAGGCTGTTGTACTTCGCCAGACCGTTTGAAAACTGACTAGGCCGTTTTCAAAATGTCTAGGCCGTTTCAAACTGCCTAGGCCGTTTTCATACGGCCTGATATTTCAGGCGGTTTGCAAACGGCCGGCTTTTTCAGGCCGTTTTCAAACGGCCTGACTGGGCCAGGCCGTTTGCAAACGGACTGGGTTTTCATACGGTCTGTAACATATCTACTTAAGCGAGGGGGCTGGATTGATGATTTTTGTCACCAGTTCAGTAACTGTTTCTGAAAGTCTTTGGCTCCGTGTCTGGCAAGTGGCAGTCGACGGGGTTGCTGAACTGATCTGAAAGCCGCATTAAATAGGTAATGCACTGGGACACTGCATAGGCATATCTTTTCAAGAACTTGAAGTTATCAGGCACTGGAACAACATTAACCAATGCGTACTCAATTTCTTACACTGAGGTTTATTGTCCCTCACTTATTTCACCTAATTAAAACTTAGCACTAGCGTGAGCGGGTGTCACGCCCGCGGCCGGCTAAGCCACATAGTTCGTGTTGACGGTCATAGATGGCAGCAGTAGTGGGCGCCTGAAAGCAGACTGTACCGCACGACATCCCGGCCCGCGCCTTGGAATAATTCGCGGTGGATATGGGGATATGGAGTCTCTGGGCCTTAGAATCCGGTGTAAGTACATTTATCTGTTGCAGTGGAGCAACGAAGTGAGAACCTTTGCACCCACTGGTGGGTCTAAGGGAGAGCTCTGTTGGCATTGTCACCAGGGATGCGGAGCCGGAGCCGGAGCCGGAGCCGGAGCCGGAGCCGCCGGAGCCGGCATATTTTGCCCGGAGCCGGAGCCGGAGCCGGAGCCGTGAAACAATATAGCCCGGAGCCGGAGCCGGAGCCGTAGCCGTCAAAAAAGGGGGCGACTCCTGCTCCTTTTCTTAAGAGGAAACAATTATTTACCTAGTTCGGTTTGACAGTACAAGGCGTAAAACAATGTGGTATTCAAAATAGCCTTGTTATACAAATACAGAAGCAACGTGTACCAATCCCATCGCCTTTTTTCCTCCACCCGTATTTAATTGATCGCATAGGGGATGTACTGAGTAGAAGCTGGAGCCGGAGCCGCCGGAGCCGGAGCCGCCGGAGCCGGATCATTTTACTCGGAGCTGGAGCCGGAGACGGAGCCGCCATGACATTTCACCCGGAGGCGGAGCCGGAGCCGAAGCCGATTTTTTTCTCCGGAGCCGGAGCCGGAGCCGGAGCCGTCTGAAATTTCCACGGCTCCGCATCCCTGATTGTCACCCATGAATCGTCATAAATTTTGAATTCTGCGCTCGTTGCATATAAAAAGAGACATATTTTTATAAAGCAGCTTCCTTGAATTGCATGGTATCTCATGACAAAAGGAAATTTTGAAGAGCCTTTGGAATTTTGGATGTTTTTTGGGGCTGCATGCCCCAGAGCATCCAGTGCTGCATTTTTGGATGGTGCAATGACTCCACCAGTTCTTTCCGCATTGAGGGATATTGGGTCACTTGAATAAATTAAATTGCGTGAACGCTCCCATAAGAGGTCCGTTTAGCGTGGAAAGCGAAAGTCGCGGACATTTGCTGGCTTACTGAATAACATTGAAAAAGTCGATGGCAAATTATACACAGTAGCTCGTTTATGTCAATAAAGATCAACGTCCAATTTATGCATTCTATAGCAAATTTATACATTGACACAACATGCTTAAGTCCATTCCTAAGCCCTGACCAAAGAAAAGGCAGGCCGGAAACGGATCGTGCATTGTCTGAAAGGTGGAACATGACCTATCTATCCCTTACTCACTCCTGCGATATACCCACCCCCGACCGCTGAATACGGGACAGCGGAAGCTGTCAATGGTCCTCGTCCACCCATAACTGAATATCATCCATGCTCCATACCTCTGTTCATTTTCAAATCCCATTGCATGACGATAGGTACGAAAATAAATTGTGCTTGAAACTTATAATCAACTATGACAGAATGAAATCTGCAACTCAATAAACACGTACATACATTGTACGCCGTTATGCAGCGGGGATCGCGGAGTGCACCCAAACAGGATAAGACCTTTTCCCGACTGCCGTTTCTGATCCTGCCGGCAGCCGGCCATAACTGCTGTGATCCCGGCCATTAAGGCCGTTGACCCAAAAGCGGTTTCAAAATGACACTTATCCAAGGCATTCATGAGGAAGTAGAGAAGAGGCAATAACAATATACGACATGAACGCTCATATGCACGGTGGGCACTGCGCAATCCTCACTGTGCTTCTTCATGATCGGCACTGTTCATAAGTCCAAAGCCGTAGGTACTCTTACCGTCTCCTTTCATGATTAACACTGAATTTGATAGTTACCCCTTAAATTAAGTACAATGCAATTCGTGTAAGAAGCGTTACAGCGTTAGATCCTATCGCCAACGTTTTTGATGTCTGTTGCAGCAGCCCGTGCCGAGCTTTCCGCACTATTTAACGGTGTTCACTGCACGATCAATGCCAAGCACGCCAGCATGGCTCTTCTTGTCACTTTTGTCATGCCTATGAACCCACTCATAACATTTTGAACTCCATGCCATTGCCTCGTCCATTCGCCTTACGCCCATTTGTATTTGTTTCTCTGGTAGTGCATTGAAAAAATGTACCAATCGGCATTAACTCTTATGCACTTTATATGATTGGGGATTAACGAGCACTACCTTTTTGAAGTTCAGACAACGAGCAGGGCTTTGATATTTGCATGCCTTTGAGTAGAATCAACCTGCTTTTGCTCGATTAAAAACATATGTTGCAATTAGCCAATGATGCTCCGACACTTATCGTATTTAATTGCAACATCATATACCCCTATGAACTTTGCACACGATTATTTTGAAGCTAACGGGTACTCACCAGCCTGTTTGAAATTTAAAATTAACACTGCCCCGGATATAAACATCTTACCAAATATGTCGTATGTCCGAGTATGTATATGATATATTATTAGACGCTCTTGGTAGCTACCACAGTAGGTACATACGTGAAAGTGGACTTAGCATCGGGTTTCGAACGTTTCGCACATTATACCGACATTGGCCCAGTGCACACCTTTTTGGCATGGAAATGCTTAGGCATACTCAACCCAAATAGCGCACACATTCTTGTTTCCATAATAATTACTCCCTCGCCTTCGATCAAAAGCCGTAGTCCTGAATCAGAACACGGAATGGCCGGTAATAACATTTGGTTAAACCGAACGT